AGAATTTATTCTGCCTTCAAACCCCTTTGGGATCTGCCTCGTGTCATTAAAGGAGATTAAGCATAATTTACATAATGCAGTCCCTCGTAGCCTCCTCTGCAAGGTAAATACTGTTGGAAATCATGAAGAATTCCAGCTTTTGGAAGTTGACCCATGAGCACTTGAGTTTGGGGATTCAAGCTGCTTTTAGAGAAAAGAGAAGAGACATTAGTTTTTCAGAAAATGGCCAGGAACATGCAATTTTCACCCAACTCCAGCCCCAAAATGAGAGAAGAAGCACAAACACTGTTAAAAGGGAAGGACACTGAACAACCTGGGAGAGCTGGGAGGGACTGAAAAGCATTGTGGCTGTGTGCAAAGGCTGCAATGCAACTAGAAAAAATGCTTAAGATACTGCTGCTTTGACATGGAAGGAACCAAAAAGAGCACTCAAAATCCAGTCTAAAGAGGGAATAGCAAACAATAGCTCTTCTACGGAAGAGTCTGAAGCACAAATCTTATTAATACAGGAGCTTTCCTGGCTGCCTCTCATTCTGGGCCTGATCTCTTAGGAGTTCGTTATCGAAAGAATCCTCAAATCCACTTTTCTTCTTCTTTCAGACCTCAAAACATCAGGAACTGGGTTTAGGTTAACTTCCACACATGTTGCATCGCTTGGTGAGATTTGTTCTCAGGGAAGAGTTCTGCAAAAGATAAGGCTTTGCAAAACTCCACTGCGGAGGCAGACATCATCCCATACAAGAATTCCTCCCTTCCCATTGCAGCACTGGTTTCTCCAGCTGCCCCTGCAGTGGCTGCTACCAATGGGGTAGCGACCAGTGGTAGCCAGTGGAGAAATGTCAAAAAATATATAAAGTGCCAATCATTTCTTCACTCACCATTGATTTTTCTGCCACTTTACAGCAGTTTTTGGATTTCACAATGAAATTGAGCCTCTTCTATGGGGTGGGGGGGCTTGCAGGATCAATAGTAAAGGGGTCAAACACATAAGCAATCCCAGACACAGAGATTAGTTCCGAGGTTTTTGCTGTCCTAGCACTTCAACTACTGAGACATGTAAATCACCTCTAAATTAAGAGCGTCTTTGTGAAGATCCCCTGGGAACAGAAACTTGTTTGGCTTGGTCATAGGTTCCCGAGAACTTCAAAGTTTATCAAAAGCTTCTATTAAAGTGTTAGGCATGCAAAGTATCATGTTATGTGCAAATGGGAGATCTGTGACCCATATTCGAATTCTCATATCACTTCTGTAATAACATATCATTAAGATTCGGGAGTGCAAGTCAGTTGTTGGGTTCTAAAATTGATGTCATTGTTCCTGGCTGCAGGATTACCAGGGGTTTTTATTTTTAATTAAAAAACAGCTCAAGGTTTGGTTTAAGCTACCTCATATTTCAAGGACATTCTCAAATAAGTTGCTCCAGCCTTTTTTAGCTTCACCAGCCCTGTCCATTCCTCAGTACTTCTCCATACTTTAAGGGATTAGCAGGCTGCTTTTTTTTTTAAAAAAAAAATCTCCTCTATAGAAGCTGGAATCTAGCAGCTATTTGAGGAATTAGCTTGCATAACAGAATCCATAGACTATTTTCATCAATTTTTTTATTCTTCTTTCCTCCAAGCTCTGCTTGGAAAACACAAAATACTTTTAAAAATCAGAAAAGAAAGAAAAAATTAGCAACATTTTCAGAGATGTCTACAGCTTTTCTTGAAAATAATTACAATAATTATTGTTCCAACTCCAGCCGCTTTATTGTACAGGCAGAACGACTCAATGGCCTGAGCTTGGAGATGGATTAAAGGGAGTGAATAAGTAGTTCACAAGGTTTTTTGTATAATCAAGGGCAGACCTATATATTAAAACTTCTTGCATAATGTGGGAACAGCCTCCTGAGACATCCGTGAGTAACGAAATGTCTGGGGGGAAAAAAAATTGTTGACCAAAATGGGACTGGAAGCTTACTGATGACAACGCCTACACAGTGGCTCCAGAGGCAAAAGTGACCCTAAAATCTGTGCATGGAGAAAGAGACACCCAGAAAATGGAAGTTTCCCTGGCAAGAAGAGTGCCACTCGCAATACATTTGGAATTGTAATTAATTAGCTCGTTATAAAGAAATGGATGCCTCAGAGGCTTTGAGCAGCTGAACAAATCTGTAAAACTTCTCGCACCTCCCGTACCGTTCCCTTCTCTCACCATTCATGACAGCACTGACTGTTCTTGCTTATTATCTCAGACCTTGTGTGGTGGATTGACCTTGGCTGGACACCAGGTGCCACCAAGCCGCTCGATTGCTCCCTTCTTCAGCAGGGCAGGAGGGGAGAGAATGAGATGGAAAAGAAAGAAAACTCATGGGTCAAGACAAAGGCAGTTTAATAAAAAAGCAAAAGCAAAGGCCATGCGTGGTAGGAAAAGGAAAACAAGATTTTATTCTCTACTTCCTATTAGCAGGCAATGTCCAGCCACTTCCCGGGAAGCAGGGCTTCAGTGTGCATAGTTGTTGCTCCAGAAGACAAAACGTCGTAAAAGATGAATGCCCCCCCACCCCTTCCTTTTCCCTTAGTTTTTATATCTGAGCTGACGTCATATCCATGCTGTGCAGCTTGACCCCTCATTCTTAGCTAATTGGACTAATGCAGGTGATTATCGACAGCATGAGCATGTCCCAAGCAGCTGTTTGCCATTCGCCGTTCGCACAACAACCTGGGGCACCTGGTGCCAGGCCACCGAGACTGAACTCCGGTACTGGCATTGGGAATTTCTGGCTTATCCTTTCAAACAGAAGATGCCACCATAGCTTAAGGTTGTTCAGTTCAGCCAGCCCGGATGCCTCTGCATGGCATTGCTGTTTCTATTGCAGCCCACCGCTCGTTATTCGCCGTAATTTGTTGTCTGGACGTACATGGAATCAGCATGGCCTCTTGGTGCAGATGGAACCTCCAGCTTGAGCTTCACAACTTCAGCTTCTGCTGCTCAAATGGCCACCCTGGAGGCCAAGACATTCAAATATAGGTAGATATGCGGCCCTCAAACTTCATATCTTAACAGAGTGATTTTCCTTGTTAATGTTATTCAAATGCTGTTATGAAGAGCTTGAGGTTTGGGTTTGCATCTTACTGTGGTCTAAGAAGCTTAAGCAGTTTCTGTTACAATTTCCCTTTTTGTCAAAAAAAATAAATGTAACTAACTGCTGCATACAGATTCGTGGAGTATTTCTGCAGAGCCAGGTGTAATGCGGTCATTATGCTGGAATTCAATGAGGAACAGGAGAAGAAAACAACAACTAAAATTAATTTACGCTGGAGGGAAGAAATTATTTACTCACCAGAGCCTCTGCAAAACACCACACCCCAAATGGGTGGGGTTTAGTTTTTTTTCAAATACGTTGGAGTGATTTTTTACATGCGGATTTTAATTACATTTCAGATGCTAAAAGTGCAATTAGTATTTCTCTACCCGTGGCCCTGTACGTCAGACCCACCTTCCATGCAGAGCGATGCCTTGGTGCTGCCAAGATTCCTGAAGGCGTAGCTGTAACCCCTCCCCTCAGAGCAAGACGTTGCCTGTAGCCCTTGGTATAAACCCATTTCACAAGGCATGGTTTCTATCTGCCAAGGGTTACCTGCGATATCACCCAGCTGCATTTTGCTGCAATTACCTGCCAGGTCCCTGATTTTACATTTGCTTTTGTTTGTCATTTAGGGAGGAAAAGACCACAGCCGCCTTGTTCAGAGCTGGGGACCCCGGGCCAACACATGTTCATTTAAAGCCTCTCCATCCCACAAGAAGAAAAGTGTTTTTACACACAAAAATAAACTTTGCAATTGCAATTTTTTTGCATGGGGTGAAAACTCAGCCTGTCCTTTAACTTTGTGGACGCCTGCAAGCAGGGAGCATGCAGCAACGCCTCTGCCAAACCCAAGGATCTCCACAGCAGCCCATGAAGATCCACAGAGAGGCACCGGGGGCTTAGTTTACAACACGAGTTACAAATCTACATTTAAGCAGCCTTAAATAGGTTGGCATTAGTCACAAAAAAATACTCAATATAATTTGCAGGGGGGGAGTAGGTCTCCTCTTAGAGCATCCCCCCCAAACCCCTTATGGTCCTTTCTCATCGGGGTCCCACTTTTCTCAGACCACGGCCATCAGAGACACGTTCTGATGAAGGAGAACTTGATAACAAGCAGAATGAGAAGAACTTGATAATGAGCAGAATGACAACAATCTGATAACGAGCAGAATAAGAAGAATTGACAGCAAGCAGCTGAAGTGCATGGGCTTGCCCCCAGGGTGACAGCCAGACGGGGGAAGGCAGCCACCAAACCTCCAGCACTTGTAGACAAAACATCCACTCTGCCTATAGAATCCGCATTACTACAATGTATCTAATTTATATCCACAAAGGCTCCGCTTTGTTACAAAGGATCTACCCTGTATATACAATGTTCCCAGTGTTTACTGGCTGTAAAATGATTTCTTGGATAGGGGTCATCAGCCAAACCCATTTCCGGGCAGCAGGGGAAAAAAAAAGTAGCTTTCCACTAATAACACAGAGGAACTTTTTTACAACAAGTGAGCTGCTAAAAGTTTTTCAGACAAATACCAGGAGACGTGGACTGTGATACAGCATAGCTTTAATGAGAGCAAAAAGGGGAATAAAAAAGTACAAAGTGTAAGTATGCATTTCTAGGATTTGGTAAGACAACAGCTAATGTGCCTTTTCATCCTGGGTTTCTTTTCTCAGTGCTGCTGTGGACTGGGGCAGTAAAGTCCCATCTACAGCAATAGAAAAAAAAATATGTTTCATCAGAAGTATGAAGTATTCAAAGAATAAGACAAGCAAAGGCCTGATTTGGGGGGATGCCAAGCTCCCACAGCTCCATTAACTTCAGGCTGTGGGTGTCTAACACTGCATCTGAAAACCATGGCCATGAGCTCAGTCCTGTGTTGGGTCGTGCTTCAGCGTTCCGGGTCCTTTCTTCCTGCTTGCTCCTCACGCTTTAGCATGGCTCATAGAAGCCACTGCGGTAGGTGTTGTAGCGACGGTAAGGCCGGCTGTACCCGCTGCCCAGGCCTGAGTAGCCAAAGCTCCCGAATCCAGAGGAGTTCCCAGAGGAGATGGGCACTCCTTCGGAGCTGAGGCTGCTGCCCACAGCTGCAGAGGTGGTGGATCCCACAGCGGTGTTTTGGGGGAAGGAGCTGAGGATGGGTCCGGGCAGGGTCACCACCACGGGAGGAGGCTGGATCACGTACGTGGAGTCCTGGCACTGCCTGACGCAGGACTCGTTGCAGCTATTTGCCAGCGGGGTTGGGCCACAGGGGGTGGGAGGACACAGGTCGTAGGAAGACATGGCTGTGGGGTGGAACCAAATCTGAAACACAGGGAAGGAAGTAAATGCAATATAAAAGCTGTATGAAGTTTATAAAATTCAGGTCAGAGGGTGTGTGAAAGTACCCAGAGAAGGTGGCCAGAGCGGTAATCCCTTATCAAATCAAAATCCACAGCAGGCAGCCTGGAAAGAGCAGAGAGGTTTCTCTTCTTTTTAGAAGGCTGCTGGGGGGTGTCTCTGCCCCATGGCTGGGCCCTGAACTGCAGTGCCAGTCATGGAAAAGCTTGCCCCGACCCTTACCAGCAAAGGCATTTCCCATTCTTTGGTGTTTTCCCTTTGCTCTCATCAGGCACGGAAAATGGCCCTGAGCTGAGCATTGACACAAAACTGGGTTTAATGCCTTAATGTCAGAATTAAGTCACCAACAGCCCAGCCCGCAGCATTTGCAGAACTACAGAAAAGAGTTTGAGAAGCATCCTCAGCTCCCAAATGTCGTATGCCCAGAGCAGGCAAACCTGGACTGCAAAGCATTATTTTCCCAATCAGAGGCTTCTGCCTTGGTTGGAATTCAATGTATTTGAGTCTGCTGGGCTCCCTGATCTTCTGCCTGTGGAAAACAGGACTTGGGGGTAGATCTTGGAACTCAGCACAATATTTCTTTTTTTTTTCCCCCTAGTCCCAGTTTCTTAAGGTGAGGCTGGAATTCCACCTGGCTAGCTGCTCCCTTAGCATCGGTCTCTAAAACAGAGCATGAAGCTGCTTGTTTTGAGAGACAACATTGCCAGTATCCTCTAAGTCCTCTCTCATTAAACCCTGCTGCACAAGTAAATAAACCCTTTCTTTTCGACAGAACTAAACCTTTGTAATTTTCGTTCCCAAAAGGAAAAAAGAGCTAGCAATATTTATAAAGAACTAAGAATAACAAAAAGAAAAACAAAACCCCAAACAAACAAAAACCCACCAGTCATCAAAGTAACAGTTTAGCATTTAAAAAGATGTTGGGGAGGTTCAGACTTACCAGTTCACCTGGGCGAATAAGGCAGGAGAAGTGGATGGAAGAGCCCTGTGCTGTATAGGCTTTTATACCGTGTTCCAGACTGCCTGCAGACCAGAGACCTATGTTATGCATGAAATTATTTAATGATCTGTACTTTTGCATGCAAAATCCACCAAACTGATCAACCCTTCCCCCCCCCCAACACCTCTTTCAGTATTACTCTATTTTTTTCCCCTCCCCTTATTACATTCACATTCCAGTATAGACAAAGCTTTCATCTTTACCCATGTGCACCCGCTTAATTGCTTGGAAGACCATGGTGACTCATTTGAATTACAGCACTAATTATGTTGCCTCCTAAGGCCAATGTACATTTTATGCTTCATTTTAGACATCAAGAGACTGCTTAGGGAGAGTGTATGCAATGCACAGTCCTTATTCAGGCCTTCACTCCTTTCGGTGAATAATCATTAGCTCCGAGGTGGGGGCCTGGGCTCAATTCACCAATATTTCCATTTCAAGGATGTAGCTTCACCACAAGACAAGATGTCTGTAATAGGAATTCCCCAATTTTGCACTCCTGCACTATTTCAATCCCACACAAACACACAGCTGAGAAGAGGACCAAGTTTCCATGAGTACTGCAAAGGTTAAAGAAAATTAAGATGGGTGAGAATTGCTGACCGGAGACAATAAACCTTGTTCTAGGACAGCTTGGGCTAGCCCACAGTTTTCCCAGTTTGTATGAACACAGCAATACAGACACACACAACACTGCATTTCTTTACCCAATCATAAATTTTAACTTCATTTTCCATGCCAAAGTCAAACAGTCTTGCTTTTGATGAAAAGGGCTCGATTACTTGATCTCATTACTTTGTGACATTTATTAACTGCCTCTAATTCTCAATACGATGTCAGCACAGGCGCTCATCTGAGGAATTGCCATTACTCCTACCTGAAATTGCAGTAAGCCACTGGGATGCACAGCAATTTTCACATTAAATTAAGTATGAAAGTGCATGTTAAAGATCACTTTCAAGTATTGGTTTTTAGAGGCAGTGCTCTGCCTGAGCCGAACTACGGCGTCGGTGGAAATTACCCCCAGCAGTTCTCCATTACATTTATCTTTATGTGATTTGATTCACCTCTGCAGTGGCGTGGCCCGGCTGTACTCCAGCCCGTGGGAAGTACTTGCACAGATGCAAGAATCAGGGATCGGGTCCCTCCTCTTAACACCCCTGTCCCTCAGCAAAAGGTATGAATTAGCTCTAAACAAAGATTGTCTTTACACGTAGGCTTGTTTGGGTCTTCAGAAGAGCAAGGGACTTCAAAGCTCCAAACGGCTTCTCACTAATGGCTCAAATATGCAAAGTTCCGTGCTGCCCAATGTTCAAGGCACAGGCCGAGATCTCAGCACTCGCATCGCCTGGCTAATGACTTCATTTCAAATTGCGTGAGTCAGGATCGCTCAAAGGACTTCACAAACTAACTCGAGGTAAACACCTTCAGAAACTTCAATTATTTTATTAAAAATTTTCATAATTGATTCAAAATAATAAAGCCAGTTCTCCATCTTCTGTAAAATCCTATAACGCTACGCATTTTAGCGATGCTCCACAAGAAAATTCTCCTCTCCTTTTCCATAATAGGAGAGGGGGGTTTTTTCTTCCTTTTCCTCAAAATCTCTTCCATCCAATATACCACCTGCCACATTTTTATAGATTTTAAAAAATTATTTCCTTATAGTAGGCAAAAGCTATCACTCACCCAGAGACTTCATTTCCCTTTCATCTGTGAAATGAGCCCGCCAAGAAATGCTAACTTTTCCTCATTATTCCCTCCAGGGGTGTAAACAAGTTGTCTTGGAGGGTATATAATATTTTAGAAGCAGACTCATTAATAGACTGGAAATGTTTCCATTGCTGTTCTGCCAGTTTAGTCTAATTAACTCCCAGAGTTCACCCAAAAGGTTGAGAGCCTTTGGATCTTGCTTTTTTGGGAGTGTTAAGGCTGGTGAACCAGAACATGACAGCTCTCACTGCTGGCTCGGTGATGGAGTTTCACATTCCACACTCTCAATTCAAACCCTTTCTGTAACCAGAGCACTCCCGTGACAGGCTGGTAAACTCCCAAATTGCCAAAGACAAATTACTTACGCGCATTGAAATTTGTATCGTCTTTATGTTGACTTCAGAGGCTTGAGTGCAAGAGTAGAAGGCATTCAAATGATCCCCAGGTCTTTGAGACGAAAGAAGCTTTGAGGAAGGCTTTTCATCTGATGCCAGGATCAGACTAAACCAGTACATAAACCATGAGCAATTTAACTCCTGGGAACAATTTAACTACTGGTGACAATTTAACCAGCTGCGACAGAATTTCTGGAACCGGAATTATTTGCATGCCTCAAACCTTCCCAACATGAGACTCCCTTCATTTTTTTCCCCAAAATCTATGGGTTTAGTAGCTTCAGCGCTGCTGCAAACCTGGTTTAAATCTCAGGTCCCTTCTTTAAACAAAACCAATTTACTTGCAAGGATTTCTAAAGGTTTTAATGCCTACAAGTGTCCTATATTTATTTTATGTTATCACGCTTCATTCCTTGATGTGAGCTTTTTGGTGGAATTCTGTAGGGCTGCAGCCAGGACGGTAACGACAGCCAGGCTTTGATAAGAACCCTAAAATACACAGTACTTAGGTGGTAAATAACAAGTAAATAGACCAGAGAGTTTTGCTCTCTGTCCCAAAGAGCTATGTGTGCGCCTCCTCTGAGACTCCTGCTGCCATCCATGTTTTACTTCACAAATCCAAGTGTTCTAGCAGTGATTTGATGGGGAAGGAAAGTAAATCTTCCTTTGCACCCTGCAGCTCCAGGTCAGACTTATTGAGAGTGTGAATCACCGGAAAATTCTTTAAAACAAATATCATTATATGCTAGATTAGATACCCTGCTATTCCATTCGATCACAAAGCACTTCCAGCCTTGAGAGTAATTCCTTAGCAGAGATGCAGAAAGCCAAGTACTATGATGAGTCAGTGTGGAATCAATACACATTTCAGCTGCAAAATGAAATATTTTCTTGATCTTGGGCTCTAAACATATGTTCTCCTCTTATTAGTGGCCCCAGTAGTATTCATATCGCATCTCTGCCTGGTAGTGAAGATCTACGCAGTGATGAATTTCACCCACAAAAAGTTTCAAAAGAAGGTAGGAGGGGAAGGAAAAAATAACAGAAGACTGGAGACATGATAAAAGCATAACTTTAATAATACCAAAGAGTCGATTAAAATACTGCAAAGCAACAGGTTTCAGTATGGAAGAATGGCACATCTTGTGGTGAAGCATTCCACAGACGGAGCTCTTCTTTCAGTGTAACATTGCACCTTGACAATCAAGTCCCATCTACTGTCTAAATTATAAGTTTTACAGAAGGCAGTATCAAATACAGTGATGCGCAGCAGAACCACGTGCTTGATTAGAAATATAAAGTAGTGTGACAAAAGTAGGGGCCTCATTTTAGGGAATGATTAACTCCCACAGCTCCATTAACTTCAGATGGAGTTGTGGGTGTCTAACATTGCTTCTGAAAACCATGGCCATGAGCTCAGTCCTGCGTCGGGTCGTGCTTCAGCATTCCAGGTCGTTTCTTCCTGCTTGCTCCTCACGCTTTAGCATGGCCCATAGAAGCCACTGCGGTAGGTGTTGTAGCGACGATAGGGCCGGCTGTACCCACTGCCCAGGCCTGGGTAGCCAAAGCTCCCCAATCCAGAGGAGTTCCCAGAGGAGATGGGCACTCCCTCGGCACTGAGCGCGCTCCCAACAGCTGCAGATGCTGAGGATCCCACAGTGGTGTTCTGGGGGAAGGAGCTGAGGATGGGGCCAGGCAGGGTGACTACCACGGGCGAGGGCTGGATCACCACTGTCGAGTCCTGGCACTGCCTGACGCAGGGCTCGTTGCAGCTGTTGGCAAGTGGGGTTGGGCCACAGGAGGTGGAAGGACACCTCTCATAGCAGGACATGGCTGCAGGATGGAGTTAAATCTGAAATACAGAACCAGAAGTGAATGCAATGTGAGGGTCGTATCACACTTACGTTTACTCGGCTCGGGTATCAGGACAACAGGAGCTTTCCAGGGATCCTTTCAGGAGTTGAGTGGGGAGTGAATTGAGAAGGAAGCCGAACTCTTGAATATGCTGCAAGAAGGTGGAGGCTAAAATAATCCTCTCTCAGTTGTTGGTGATCCAGTGGAATAGCCGGCAGCAGAACAAAAGGACACATACCTGTATCATCACTTTAATTTTAGTATTTTGATTTGCCATATGTCTGGAAAGACACTACTGAGATCCAGCCTCAGGTATTCTGAGCATTGTAGGAGTAGTAATTATGAGTAATACCTAACCATAAATGTACTTATGGATAGAGTTCAATAGACAGCTGAAAATGAAATGAAGAATTATTTTCCAGGTTCCAAATTCACCTACAAAGAGGTACAATTTTCAATATAGTTAAGCATACTTGAGGCTGACGTCTTTGGAAATCTTTCCCAGACAACTTGTCCACAGACACATCGTCCATCAGAAAGCCAGGAGTTCCCTGCGAACTCCCTGTGTCCGGTTCCAACACACCAATAAACACAAAGTCTGCTCTTTCTCATGCCCATCTCAGTTTGTTGGGTCCTCAGCTCCCCCCTAATTTTGCTGTTCTTTCCCCTTGTCCTCACAGTCCCTGGAACCATTTCTCTGAACTTGCAGGAGATGTCATTGCATCCCGTAGCCTCATTTCAAAACTCGGCCACTATAAGACAACAAGCAGAACTTTTTGATGGCGTCTATCGTATTGAAGTCCACAATTACTACCGCAGAAGAAGGCTGAAGATGCATGATTAGAGCCAATACCCTTGCAGAACTCATTATGAATATTCCTTCTAATCTCAGTATGCAGCTTCATTTTGTCTTTATTTAGCAAGAGTTACTTAGAGCTCAAAAGCTTGTGGTTCAACATCATTGACTTTTAAACCCCACCAACCTCTGCTCTAAACCTTCCTAGTTCCCTTGCTCTCCAGCTGTTTCTTTTAGTACATGGTTCATCCTACCCTCATTTCCCACAGTGCCCAGTAATAGACTCATCGCAACAAAAACAGGAACACTGAAGAAGCCTCCCATGGAATAAAGAGCAAAGAAAAGGAGTTCTCAGGATGACATTTCTGAAGATAAATGCATCCACAACCCTTAAAAACACTGCTGTTTTCATATCAACCCAGTTGAAATTTCAGGCGTTACAGCTGATGGATACGACCCTTAAAGATATAAAATGCACAGTGCTAATTGAAAGATGACTGAGCACATCGATCTCTGTAATTGTAGAATGGTTGGAGTTGAACGGGACCGTTCCACCCCCTTGCAGAGTTATTCTACCCATTCAGTTTGTTAATCTTTATTATTATTATTATTATTGTTATTGTTATTGTTATTATTATTATTATTATTTGGATTTTTTTAGTCACTTAGCATGCCTGAAAGCCCACATTTGAATAAATTTATATCACCATTTCAAGGATCTACATGGTCAAGTCAGGGCTCCAGAAATACCTGCAATTCCAAACCAGAAAAAAAACAACTTTTTAAAAAGAAGTCTTCCCCCCAACCAACCCAGCAACTACCAGAATTCTGTGGAGAAAAAAATAAGAGCAATCAAATGGTTATGAAGGCAAGAATTCGGCAAATAGAAGAAGAGAAGAAGATTTGAACTAACCTTGTTCACAAAAGAGGAAAAAGGTAAGAGAAGTGGTAGGAAGGACCTTGAGTTGAGCGAGCTTTTATAGTGCATCTCAGATGGCCTGAGGACCACAGACGTCCTTTGTGCATGAAATTACTTACCAATGAGTATGTCCTGAATGCAAAATACTTCCAACTCTCTAAATGCCTTTTCCTTACTGTTTAGTCCTTGGTTTTTATTTCCTTATCTTCTGACATACATATTCTGTCATACAAGTTTCTCTCATCTTCTGGTATTATGGACCAAAATTATTCCAGCGCCACCTTTCAGTCATAACACAATTTCTGCTCCAGCGTGTGCTTCACTTGAGTCACAAGCCAAAATATTAAGAAGAATTTATACAATACATAATTCATCATTCAAAGGTGTCCTTTTAGTAAGAATATGAGTGGAAAGCCTTAATAAATTCTGGTCTCCACCAATGTTTACAAAGCTCCTACTCCAGCCAAGCATAAGAACAATCTAGCTTCTGCATTTTGTGAAGACCCTGCAAAAAAGCACAAGCACATGCACACCCGAAATCCCACCAAATCTAATGAGGCAGAATCAGGGGCCTGGGTGAAATTCAGGGGGAAATACTATTATCTCGCATTCGGGTAGTACCACCCTATTGCACTTCGGTGACAGCTTGAGGCACAGCTGCTAGCACATGGGGACATTTAAACCTGATTTATCAGTTCTTCTCTGAAGGGAACCTATAACTCCCCTCCATACCATCTCAGACCACAAATATGAATAGCGCTTCACAAGCCATCTTGAGGACACATATGAATTTTAAACTCTTTTGAGGAATTATCCCAGCACAAGCTTAACTGTGGAGTCACTGTGGAAAAAAAAAAACACACAAGGACCTGTTTGCCATCGTATTTTTTCCCTCGCCACAGAGAGCAGTACAGCAGTGATTGCACTCCAGACTGATGGAAGTTCATTGCATAAGTGAAATATATATACAAAATTTTAATATGGTTTTCAGCTTTACTTTGCAATCTCTCCTGCACAAGCTGCAGGGTTCGAACCTCTCCTTCGAGAAGAGTTACTGAATATCGTGCATGAGGATTCATAGATATCTGGGAAATAAAAGGTCTTGGTCTTAGGTTCCCAAAGAAGAAGGGCTTCAAAGTCCTTCACAATTTTCATTAACAGTGTGTGTATTCACAGAATTAAGTTATCAAACTCTTCATGGTACATGATGAGGGTTTAACATCCCCATCACCCACCCAATGGGATGGCCTTAAAACCTCTGAGGCAAGATCAGCCTTTGCCATCACAAAGCTTTATACCTTCACAAAGCAAAGCCATTTGTATTTTAGCAGACTCTGAAAACCAACCCTGAACAATTCTTTAAAGAAAAAAAATCAACTTTTAACAAATTTTTAAACTGCTTTTTGTATTTCAACATTATCTAAAGTGACCCACTTATGCTCTTAAAAATTTCCCTTCCTTTCCAGACCTAAGCAATGCTACCAACTCATAAACATGTAAACATGCTCTTTTTTGAAATACAAATTCTTCTGCAGCATCAGGTGCTTACTGGCAACCAGGAGGATTAATTTTCCTGTAAAACTTGTAACAATATCCACAGAAGTCTTCAACGCTTCTGTTCTGCTTCCCTCTATTAATGCAAGGGCTTCTAATTGGCATACTGCCTCATATTTTAAAAACAAACTCATCAGAGCTGACCGCAGTATTTTCAAAAAGACTCCTGAACTGTCTCCTGACCATGGCTCAACTCCAGATTGGTCCTATTGGCTCAAAGAATTCATCCAAGAGGTGCCGAGATTTTTTTTTTTAAAGATGGTGACCAAGTTAACTGAATTGTTCTTAAGTGGGTCAGGCAGGGAATTGCACACCAAGAGCTTCAGTAAATGTCTTGAACATGATCTTAGATTAGGCTCCAGAGACACCCGCAAGCTAACAAATTGCTGAGGAGCTGGAAAAAAACATCTTTATTAGACTGGGCTTGGAGTAATTTCCCATTGACACTAACAGAGTCAGTATAAAAGTACCAGAAATTAAAAGCACCCATAAATTGTGAAGATGAAAGATTTTTTTAATGGGTAGAGCATGCTTCCCATGCAACGCCAGGGTGAGCCTAGACTGGAAAACAAAGCAAAACAATTTCATTATCAAGACAAGGTTCCACCTGCAAAAATATACATGGGAACTCATTCATGCAAAAAAAGGATGCATCAGTAGTCTTGCAAATTTGTAAACATCCATCTGCACGGTTACCATACACATTTCTCCATTCTTAACTTACTTAACTTGCCCCTCTAATCTGCTCTGGTGAGGCCTCACCTAGAGTACTACGTCCAGCTCTGGAGCCCTCAACACAAGAAGGACATGGAAGTGTTGGAGCGGGTCCAGAGGAGGGCCACAAAAATGATCCGGGGGCTGGAGCACCTCTCCTATGAGGACAGGCTGAGGGAGTTGGGCTTGTTCAGCCTGGAGAAGAGAAGGCTGCGGGGAGACCTGATTGCAGCCTTTCAGTACCTAAAGGGGGCCTATAGGAAAGATGGGGAAAATCTTTTTAGTAGGGCCAGCAGTGACAAG